AGGAAACTTGCAATAATTCAGAACAATAAGTGCCAAGAGGAGAGACTGTGTGGACAGATAGGGAAAATTGCAGTTTATGATGCCTTAGGGTAAAGTGAAAGATAACACCAAGTAATAGTTATTTTGAGCTGAAAGTCATGTTTAAGCATTTTGTTCGGTTGCTAAATTAAAAATATAACTTAAAATACAATTAATTTCACCATTCTTCTCTTGCTGTTTTCACATGGTGTGGGCTTGATGTCAAAAAGCCAATGCCTCTTGACATTTTATTTTTTCCCTCAACTTAGTCCATTCTTCCATTCATTTTTCTACGGAACATCAGTCGTCATTTAGGCTTATGTAACTGAGAAAATAACTAGCCTACTAGTATTTAACAAGTACCTAAGTATATATGTGAGTCAAATACCCACATACACTTATTTCTCTCATCAGGACAACTCACTTTGGATTCTAGGCATCAAAGAGGGTACCAAATGAGGGCTTTCATGAACAGTTGCTCACCTGCATGAGCATTTGAACATCAGGCATCATTCTTTGTCCTGAGTAGGAGCAGCATGTTTAGAATTAAAGATGTGAAGGATGTCCTACAGTTGTTTGCAAACACATCAAAATGTTTTCATGTAGGAGAGCAGCTAAATACATTGAAAGTCAAAGCTGGTTTTGTCCAGTGTAAATGACTGTAAACCTTATGCTTCAAGATTGCATTGCTCACAAGTGGAAGTTTTACATCAGGGATCTGATGCCACTGTGCCGTCCAGTGTTTGTTGCTTTGCCCAGCTGAAAGACTGAGGATATGTCATAGGTTTGTTTTCAGCCTTTTTGCTTATACTGAAGACTAATTTCATATCAAGCAAGAAATACTGTGCATTAGGATGAGGTTCATGTACTTCATCTTCAGATCCTTGCAAATAGGAAATAGGCATTGCTCAGCTCATCAGCAGAATCTTGGTCTTGTTTTAGAGAAGCCTGTATTTAAATCTGTGATGTTTAAGGGCTTTTCCTGGTTTAGTAGATAAGTTTGTTCAGCCTGTACATGCTTTCTGGAAAACAGAGAAAGTCAGGTAGATCAGCTTTTAAAACTGGTGGTTGATGGAAAACCCTTTATCATAGAGTACTTGAAAGAAATCAGATTAATGGATAGTTAATTCTGTTATTACCTGTTCCCATTAAATGAAGCAAATGAGCAGTACAGTCAGACTTTAATTTTGGCTTGCCCAAGTTGCTTACACAGTATGTATTGTAATAATTTGTGTCCAGGTTTTTTAACAGCTTTGTCTACATTGTCAGGACAGCTTGTTACTGTTTAATGCTTAATTTCATGTGAACACATACAAAAGCTTTCTGCATAGAAAAATAATTCCACAATTTTGAGAAACTGTGAAAACAGAATTATCTGTTTTTCAAATTTACCTGAAATCACTGAAAATCTGAATAGTCAGCATGAATTAATTAATTTTTTTGGCCATTTTTTCCCTTTCTTGTGAAATAGTCTTAAGTTGGACCTTTTAGTTCTGATGTACATAGTTAGGAACATTTAATAAGTAGCACAAGCTGATGTGTTTTACTTCTTTGAAATCTGACACTTGCTTTTTCATCTTTTACTTTAGCCACACCTTGAATGGACTGTTCGATGGGGTGGCAGTTGGTGACTTTCAGATACATATTTCTCTAGCTAAAGCTGCAGTGGACTGATGAGGGAACATTCTGAATATTCTTTCATTCTCTTTTTCCTCAAATTATGGCATACTGGAAGTTCTAAGTGACCTTAAAATCAATAACCCTATAATGCAAGAAGTGGACAGAGGGTGACTGAGAAGTACAAATTCCAAATAGAATTAATTGCTGCCTTGATACTTGAATATGTATACATTCATGCCTTTTTCATTTCCTTTGTATTATATATAATTACACTAAAAGTTAAGCAGGAGCTTGAAGCAGCGATTTAGTTTATCATTTACTTCAAAGCAGGATAAAAAGAATGGTGTTGGAAATTATAAAATGCAGCAGTCAAATAGAAGTATTTTTAGAATTTTATTCTCGAAAGAACCCTTCTTGGAGTTGAAATAATTATCATGGTGCTTTTACTTAGCCTAAGTCATTTTAATAAAAAAGGAGCTGCAGCATTATGTAGTATTGATATAAGGAAAAAAAACTGAGCATATGAGCATGAATTCATTGAATTCATGCTACTGATTTTCATGTGACTCAGGATATTCATAAAATATGGCAAGTATGATGCTTACGATGCTACCATTTTAAAGTATCTGTATTGCCTCTATTTAATCTCTGCAATTTGAAGTAATTCTCACTTTATCGGTATTTGTAAGGATGCTGAGATCTTTCAGGGAACTATATAATAGTGCAGAGCACTGTAACATAAAATATTAATTAGCATCATGTACTTTAACTGGAATTTCAATCTTACTTCTGTTAGTTGTTTAAAGAATGAGCGTAATTTGTTTTACTTCAAGGTACTGTGAAATGTAAACATGCAGATAGTATAATACTTCTTTCTTTTGCAGAAATGCTAAAAGGGTTCATTTTCATATACTGAGATCCCATCATATCCCACAAAGCCAAGAGGGTGACCTGAATCTAGAATACCTTGCCGTTGCAGTAAGCTTTCTGGAGATGAAGAAGATAGCAGTGCATATACATCATAGAGGTGGTTGTCACAGCCTGCCAGTGACGGTATTCTGCTGCTGCAGAATACCTCTTTCATGTGAGATACAAAGCTACTGTTTTTAACAGCATTTGGCCCTTATAACTGCTATGCCACTGTGAAAATACATGAGAGTTAATCGCAAAGGCTGGAATAATTTCAACTCAAACCACATTCCTTTTGTCTGTCACCATTCCTCTAGCCTTTCTTGGGAGGGCTAGTAAGGGGAGGATCTAATATTTCTCTCCCCTGGTAACTTGTATAAACTGCTGTTTTGTGCCACTTTGCCAGTAGTGTATTAATACCCTTGTTCCATTTTAGCATTCTTACTGTAGGCAGGAAGAACTCAACTTACATCATTAAATCAACATCTGGCCCCAGTTATCCTGACGTACGAGGCCAAAAGATGTCTGCTTTTCTCTTCTTGTTCTTACTATTGTATGGGGTAATTCATTCATTTATTTGCCCACAGAGAAATCTTCTGCATACTAGTACTTCCCTCCTGCCTTCCTTCACAGGAAGGAAACCAAAGGAGAACTGTATATTTTCGGGGGAGGTAGGGCACATGGCAGAGCATCTCTTGCCTAGTCCTCTTCTCAGAAGGCTCGGTGGATTTCTGAAGGGCTCAGCCTTAAACTGCATTGGCTGTCTTCTTCCTTCTTAACTCTTAGTGGGATCTGGAGAAGCAAAGGAACTTACAGCCCTGTTTTGACTCATCTCATGGAAAGAGCAAGACTTTAAGTAAATTTCCATTAAATTCTATTGACACAGGGTTGGAGGACAGAAGGAGAGGGAACAGCCAGCAAAGCTAGAAAGCTTAGTATAGAGGACAGGAGAGAAGAAGGAAATGCAGCAAAATTACAAGGGACTTATTCAAGGGAATGTTGAGAGCTGTTGGGGATAGAAACTTTGATCCATGAGAACTAATTGCAGAGAATTAGGTGTTTGTGAGGGAACAGATGGGATTTCTTGGAACAATCTACCAGAGGAACGGAGAATTGATTAATTGGAGACTTTCACAAAATTCATTGGGTGCCTCAGTAAGTAAGCAGAGAGAGCAGATGCATTCTTTTGAGGACAGTATATGAGTAGGGGTTTCCAATGAGTGAATTTATTTTGCAATATCTCTGTGTTTATTAATGGAATTTGTATTTTGGAAGCTAGATTCAGAGATTTCTTCAGGATTTTCTGGAGAGAGTAAGGCAGTTGTAGATGTGGGGAATAGAGGGACACTAAATTAGTGGGAGAAACACAGAAAGAGTGAAAGAAAGCTCTATGAATGAAAATGTGGTAAGCTTCAATGTGTAACAAGAGATTGCTTTATACTGGGGAGTAACTGGCACAGATGCAAGAACAACTAGATTGGGATGAACCTGCAAGTTAAATACAGCCTCATATATTTCCTGTGATTTTTGTACTTTTTAAACAAGAACCTGTAAAGATTTGTTTAAAAAAAAAAAGAACAAGGCAGCAGAATTTATTAATAGTGTAAAGTAAATTATACTTGTAGATGTGTATAATAGACACTGCTTCTCATTACCTAGTTCATTGTAGCCTCCTTTCCTTTTTTCCCCCGCAAAAAAATTTAAATTTGTGATGCTGATAAAGGCATTGTCATTTCAAAGGGACAAGTACCTATTGGCTTTGGCCTGTTGTGAACATACATGTCCTTGTATATACATGCATATGCATACATATAGATAGCACAAGTTAGAAAATTGGTATTTTTTCCATCCCTGTTTTGAAGAAATGGTCTTGTGTATGTGTGCTGTTTTAAACAGTAATAAGATAAGCAGAAATACTGTAGGAAAAGATCATTGAAGAACTCAGAGAACAGGGAAGTATACTGAAGTGTTAAATACTGTATTTATGATCATTTTTAGGCCCTACAGAAAATCTTAAACTTTTCTTTTCTTGTATGTTAAATACTGATCTTATATCCTCTTTAGCAATTGCTTTAACCTTGAGACAATTGTTAAGAACAGGGTATTCTGCATTTAGTTACTAATATTCTGGGGTTTAAAAGTTGTTTTGATCGGACCCTTTGTTTATGCAGTAGAAATGGGATGTGTTCAGATTTTCACCCCCTGCAGAAAAAAAAGCAGAACATTCAAATGATGCTGCTTGCTAATTATTTTGATGCCTTGACAGTTTACCAGCCTGTAATTACTGACTTTTCCTATTGCTCTGAACTGAAATAGCTGTAGCGTGTTCACTATATTTATTGGGGATGAATCACCTGACGCCTGCCATACTTATACAGCAAAGGAGAAACTTCCACTAAAAACTCTGCAAAATGCAGTAGTAACATCTTGGGGGTTTGTTTTATTGTTTTCAGGGTGCTGGGTGCACTGCACTGGTGGTAGCTGTGGTGGCAAGGAAGTTAGAACTTACCAAAGCTGAAAAACATGTGCATAATTTCATGATGGACACCCAGCTAACTAAAAGAGTAAGTCACACTTTATATTCACAACGGAAAAGGAAATGTGTGTTAATTTATTTCTGCATTTGTTTTAAATAGACCCCTGCTCCGTTCTCCTACTGAACATGGGTGTGATTGTGCAAGGAGGAGGAATTGCATGCCATGAGCTTTTCTCTGAACTGAGGGCAACTGTTTGTTCTCAGCAGGTTTTGAGGATTTGAATATTCTTCTGTAGAGAGTCCTTGCAGCTGGAAGATAATTGGTATAACCAACTGTTAAATGCTGTGAAACTAAAGACTATTATATTAAACTAAAAACTTCCATGGGGCATAAGAGAAGAATATATAAATTTTTTGTAGCTAAAATAGGTGAAATGACTCATATATACAAGAATCTCAAGCTATGAAAGATGTTTTTAAGAAAAAGACGTATTCATAGTTTGTGAGTGAGATAGTCTTTCCAGTTGCTTTGTGTACTCAACACCAAGTTCGCTTAGCGGCACACAGTGCTGCAGTGCTTTGAAAGATGTTTTTAGAAGAGATTATTTTAAAAAACCCTCCAGAAATCATTAGATTTAATAAAAAAGATTTTTAAATTTTCCTTATAAAATATAATTTAAATTACAATAACATCTTGGAAAATAAAAGAATGTAGCAAACGAGGCAATAGAAATCCTTTATTGAAATAAAACAGGTCAGTGTTGAGGGAACAAGAAAATGAGTAGGAGCTACACAGTCCTCTCAACTTGCTTACTGTTCGTTATTGAGAAGAGCCAATACGGAGAGGGAGGTCCTTGTGCCCACAACAGAACTCAGCAGGGCTTGTCCTTACTGATGAGTGGAGAGGGATGTCGATGCCTGAGCTGGAAACCATGGCTCTGCTCCAGGCGGTAAGGAGGCTGGCTGCCTCGGCACAGCTCCGTGCAGAGGTGCCGTGCTGCACTGCCACGGGTCCTGTGCTGCGGAGAGCCGTGCCATATCTCTACATGCAGTGTTTCCAGGACACGTCAGCACACCGCTCTAGTTGTGCTGGCTCCTTCATTTCTATGCTGGTCATCACTAACAGCCTGCATCTCTGCTAAGCTGTCACAATGGGGAAAGGGTAAGGATGAGTGGGAAGGCAGTTCTTATATAGGTATAAGGGGTGACTGAGTTGAGGTGTTTATCTGAGCTTGTTGATTTGCACTCCTATTATAGTCAGTTAAGGTCTTGTTGATACCAGACCACAGAACAATTTGTGCCTTCCTAACACAGGCACTTTTCTGGTGTAATCGAACAGCTGACCTCAAAATGTCTTTCAGGAAGGAAAAAGGTTTTGTAAAGATCAGTCAGCTTTTGAGTCTGGTGTTCATTTGTGCCTTTTACAGTTTTTTTGATTTAGCTGTCCTTTGTATAAATCTAAATATCAGTCTAACACTGTATCCAAGTGGAGCTTTGGTAGCTTCAAACTCATGAAACTCAAAGCACATGAAAAGCAAACCAAGCAAACAAATCTCAGATGCACATCAGGTCACAAATCGGTTACGCAGATACTGGAGAGGTTTCCTCACAGCCTGAAGATAGCTATATCTTGTGGAAATGAAAGGCCTCAGTAGAGGTTGTGAGGAGGTCTCTAAATGAGATTGTACTTCCACTGAAGTAAGGACCAAGGTTCTCCAACACTTCTACAGGTACAAGATGGGGACCTCTTGCTGGGAAGAGCTACTGCGTGGCATT